TTAGTGGATATCTTTTCCCATGCTGTGGGTTCCCTTTTTGTCTTGTTGACTGTGTCCTTTTCCTTACAGAAGCTTCTCAGGTTCAGGAGGTCCCATTTATTAATTGTCAATCTCAGTGTCTGTGCAACTGGTGTTATGTTCAGGAAGCAGTCTCCTGTACCAATTCGTTCAAGGGTACCTCCCACTTTCTCTTCTAAGAGGTTCAGTGTGACTGGATTTATGTTGAGGTCTGTGATCCATTTGGACTTAAGTTTTGTGTGTGGGGATAGACATGGATCTATCTGGAGTCTTCTACATGCCAGCATCCAGTTATGCCAGCACCATTTGTTGAAGATGCTTTCTTTTTTTCCATTGTATGATTTTAGCTTCTTTGTCAAAGATTAGGTGTTAGTATGTGTGTGGGTTAATATTTGGGTGTTCAATTGAATTCCATTGGTCTATCTGTCTATTTTTGTGCCAATACCAAGCTGTTTTCAGGACCCCAACCTCTTCCCCAATCCCCTGACCTCCAAGATGGTGAGGCCCTTCTTGGGGGATCTCGAAAGTCTATCCTATGATCTGGGACAGGGCCTAGGCCATCCCCCATGTGTCTAGGCCATCATGTGATTTTGTTTATCACCTTGTTTATATGGTAGATTACATTGATGTATTTTCATATGTTGAACCACCTCCACATCCCTGGGATGAAACCTACTTGATTATGCTGGATGAGTTTTCTGATGTGTTCTTGGATCTGATTTGCCAGTGTTTTGTTGAATATTTTTGCATCAATGTTCATGGGGGATATTTGTCTGAAGTGCTCTTTCTTAGTTGTGTCTTTGTGTGGCTTGGATATCAAGATTATTGAAGCCTCGTAAAAAGAGTTTGGGAATGACCCTTCTGCTTCTATTGTGTGGAATACTTTGAGGAGAATTGGTATAAAATGTTCTTTGAATTTCTAGTAGAATTCTGCACTGAGGCCATCTGACCCTGGTCTTGTTTTGGTTGGGAGACTTTTGATGACATTTCCTTAGGGGTTATAGGTCTATTTAAATTGCTTACATGTTCTTGATTTAATTTTGGTAAATGATATATATTCAGAAAATTTTCCATTACCTTTAAATTTTCAAATTTTGTGTAGTACAGGTTTTCAAAGTATGACCTGGTGATTCTCTGGATTTCCTCAGTGTCCGTTGTTATGTCCCTCTTTTCATTTCCGATTTTGTTAATTTGCATGTTCACACTCTGCTATTTGGTAAGTTTGGATACAGATTTTTCTGTCTTGTTGATTTTCTCAAAGAACCAACTCTGTTACATTGATTCTTTGTATTGTTTTCCTAGTTTCTACTTTATTGATTTCAGCCCTCAATTTGATTTTTTTCTGGTGTCTACTTCTCCTTGGTAAGTTTGTTTCTTTTTGTTCTAGAGCTTTCAGTTGTGCTGTTAATTCTTTAATGTGAGTATTCTCCAGTTTCTTCATGTGGGCACTTAGTGCTATGAACTTCCCTTGTAGCACTGCTTTCAAAGTGTCCCATAAGTTTGGGTATGTTGTGTCTTCATTCTCATCGAATTCTAGGAAGATTTTTATTTCTTCTTAGACCCAGGAATGGTGCAAATGCACATTATTCAATTTCCATGAGTTTGTAGGGTTTTTACAATTTGTGTTGTTGTTGAATTCTAACTTTAAAGCATGGTGGTCTGATAAGACACGTGGAGTTATTCTAATTTTTTTGTACCTGTTGATGTTTGCTGTGTTGCCAAGTATGTGGTTGATTTTTGAGAATGTTCCATGTGGTATATTCTTTTGTGTTTGGATGGAATGTTTTGTAGATGTCTGTTAAACCCAATTGGGTCATAACTTCTATTATTTCCTTTGTTTCTTGTTTGAGTTTCTGTCTGGTATTCCTGTCTAGTGGTGAGAGTGGGGTGTTGATGTCTCGCACTATAAGTGTATGAGGTTTTATATGTGATTTGAGTTTTAGTAATGTTTCCTTTACTAACATGGATGTCTTTGTATTTAGGGCATTGATATTCAGAATTGAGACTTCATCTTGGTTGGTTTCTCCTGTGATAGTATAAAATGATCTCCTTCATCTCAATCCTGATTGATTTTGGTTTAAAGTCTAATTTATTAGATATTAGGATTGCTATCCCTATAATGTGCATTCTTTCTGCAGCTGCCTGGGTCCTGTTGCCGCTGCAGCCCCCAAATATCACATGACACGCTATGTTAATTATGAATCTGTTGGCCTTTTGCTATTGTTTTTCATTGGCTAGCTCTGACTTTATTGACCCATAATTACTAATATATTTTTATAAGGACTTATCTTTCCAAGGACACCCTCCTGAAGCATCCATTCCTCCTGGGAGATCACATGGCATCGACTCTTGTACTTTATTTCCCAGAATCTTCCCAGATTTCTAGTCCCACTTATCTTGTTTTCCTATTGTCCAGTAGTGCTTTATTTACATATACATAGAAGGACTTCCCCCATTAATCCCCACTTGTTTCTTGGGTCCATTTGATAGGAAAATCTTTTCCCAACCCTTAACTCTGAGGTAACATCTGTTTTTGAAGCTGAGGTGTGTTTCTTGTATGCAGCAGAAGCATGGATTCTGTCTTCGAATCCATTCTGTTAGCCCAAGCCTTTTTATGAGCAAGTTAAGACCATTAATATTGATGGATACTAATGACTGTTGATTGCTCATTCTTGTTTGTTTTGGAATTGGTGGTGGTAGTGGAATTGTTTGTGGATTTCCACCCCTTTTTTTTTCATTTGTCTCTTTGTAACTTGAGATTATCTATTGCCTACATTTTTTCTGGTTGTAGTTAACTTCCTTGAGTTGGAATTTTCCTTCTAGAACTCTCTGTAGGGCTGATTAGTGGATATGTATTGTTTAAATCTCGTTTTGTCATGAAATATCTTGTTTTCTCCATCTGTAGGGTTTGAAAGCTTTTCTGGGTATGGTAGTCTGGGATGGCATCTGTGGTCTCTTAGTGTTAGTAGAATTTCTTATCCAGGACCTTCTGGCTTTCAGAGTTTCCATGGAGAAGTCAGGTGTAATTCTGATAGGTTTGCCTTTATATGTTACTTGGCCTTTTTCCTTAGCTGCTCTTAATATTTTTTCTTTGTTCTGTATGTTTGGGGTCTTGATTATTATGTGTCAAGAGGACTTTTTTTGTGGTCTACTCTATTTGGTGTTCTGTAAGCTTCTTGTACTTTCATTTGCATGTCTTTGTTTAGGTTGAGAAAGTTTTCTTCCATTATTTTGTTGAATATGTTTTCTGCCCCTTTGTGGTGGGTTTCTTTACTTCCTTCTATACCCATTATTCTGAGGTTTGGTCCTTTTATGGTGTCCCATATTTCCTGGTATTTTGTTTTAGAGATTTGTTGGACTTAGATTTTCTTTGGTTGAAGAATCTATTTCTCTTAGTGTATCTTTAATGCCTGAGATTCTTTCTTCCATCTCTTGTATTCTGTTGGTTATGCTTACATCTGTAGTAGCTGTTTGCCCAGCTTTTCTATTAGCATTCCCTCAGACTGTGTGTGTTTTTTGTCTCTATTTCAGCTTTCAACCCTTGCACTGTTTGAATTTTTTCCTTGCAATTTTGCTTTGTCTTTTCCCCCATTTCTTGCATTTTTGATTTGTTTTTTCTTCCATCTCTTTGAGGGATTTTCTCATATCCTCTTTGAGGGCCTCTATCATTTTCATGATGTTGTTTTTAAGGTCATTCCTTTCTGCTTCATTTCATGGGGATGTTCTGGTCTTGCTGGTGTAGAGTCTCTAGACTCTGGTGGTGTCATATTGGTTTTTCTGTTGTCGAGTATGTTTTTTATTGTCTCCTTCCCATCCCTTCTTCCAGTGGGTGCAGAAGAAGTCTCTTCCTCTCCTGGTTGGTATGGGACTAGGGTTCCCTTCCTGTGGGTTCACACAGGTCCAATAATGTGGTGGCTCTTCTCTTCCTGTGGATGGAGGCGGGCCTAGTACTGGGGTCTTTGAAGTCTCAGGGTGGGATCTGCAGTCTGCATTCCCCAGGCCTCAGCTGGTTTCATTCTGGGCACTGGAAGGCAGGCTGGAAAGAGACCTAGGCTTACCTAGTCCAGTGGGAAGAGAAGAGATTAGGATGCTGGCAGTCTCTGGGTGAGTTGGCTCCTGGTGGGATAGGAACTGCAGTGGCCATCCCCAGGCACATGGAGGCGTCCCGATACAGTCCTTTGGGTAGAGAAAGGGACTAGTATGCTGGTAGTCTCTGGGTTGGTTGGTTCCCTCCAGGATTGGAACCACAGTGGCAGTCCCCAGGCCTCAGCTGGTTGTGTGCAAGGCACAGGAAGGCGGGCTCATAATGCAACTCTTAAGTCCACAAATATGTTTGTTGTAGTAATCCCTTGCCTTCTGACTTTGGTAGCAACTACACTGATTTCTAAAGTTGGACAAAAATTATCCTCTGTTACTTTAAAAATCATATTTCAGCTGGTTATGGTGGTCCCAGCACTCAGGAGGCAGAGGCAAGCAGATCTCTTGAGTTTGAGGCCAACCTGGTCCACAGAGCAAGTTCCAAGATAGCCGCAGCTACACAGAGAAGCCCTGTCTCAAAAAAAAACAAAAAACAAAAACAAAAAAACCAAAAAACAAACAAGACCCTGTTTCATGTGTTTTTAAAATAATTTGATTGGTATATTTTTAATTCTTTTGAAGATGCGCTTCTTTATGTTAAGCAGTTTCTTCAGTAATGCTTAGAAACTTAGTTTGTGTTTTAGGTTTTAGTCAAATGATCTTTTGATATCAGTCATTTTGAAGTTCAGTATATAGATAACACCTTGTATTTTCAGAGTCAATACAAGTGAATATATTTTTGGAATCCACAATATTTATCCTTAAAACCTCTCATAACTTATGATTTTTAGTGTCTATAGAAAATAATGCTTCAAAAATTTTCACTCTAGCTTTTTATATTAGAAATTTTGAAATATCTCCAAACTCTATTGTTAACTACTAAATGACATTTTTTTCATATATAGGTTTGCCATTCAGAACTTGAACTGGGGATTTGTTTTCAAGCAGTAAATAGCAGGATTCAGCTGCAAATTCTTGAGGCACAATACCTTCCAAGTTCATCAACACCTCTGACTTTGAGTAAGTGTATCAGTGGTTCAAAGTGCATCCAGTATGAAGAGGTTCCAGTAGAGTAAGAATCAAGAGACCAGTATGCATTAAGGACTCTTCCCTTCTCTGGATAAACAGCTAGAGACTATGATATGATCGTGGGCTATGCTTAGTTCACCTGGCCACCCTTAGTGCTGAAGATTTGAAATCCATCCTACTTCAAGTGCTTAGAGTATAAGGGAATTATCTAGGCAAGTAAAATTACTATGATTAAAAAAGACTAAAGAATACATAAGACTAAGCATTCAATTCAAGAAGTCAGAAAAATAGCAATTATTAGGAAACCTGAAGTTGGTAAATACAAATTAACAATAGACAATAAAACCAAAAGCTTTATTCTTTAAAAGGACCATTAACATAGGACATTTTTTAAGAAGATTGATAAAGCAAAATAGAGAAAACATTAATTGGTATTCTAAACAGTAAAGATTATATAATTTTAAATTCAAAAGAAATTTTTAAGTCAGAAGAGAATTAATAATATGTAAGACAATTCCATGTACCAACTATTCTAATTCATTTTCACATGTACAGAAAGTAAATAAGTTCCTTAAAAATTCACTAAAGAAGAAAAAGAATCTGAAAAGAATAATAGCCATGAAAAAATAAAGAATTACTTGTAAAAAGTACTAAGTAGGACTTGGGAGATGGCTCAGTTGGTAAAGTGTCTTTTATACAAACATTAGGACCTAAGTTCTGATCCCTAGACCCATATAAAAATCTGGGGGTGGTCATGCATACTTCTAACCTTAAGTGGATGGAGAGGAGTTTGCTGGGCAGCTTGTCTAGCCAGTTAGAGAATGCTAGATTCAGTGAGAGAACCTGTCTCAAAAAATGAGACAGAGTCGGGCGTTGGTGGCGCACACCTTTAATCCCAGCACTTGGGAGGCAGAGGCAGGTGGATCTCTGTGAGTTCGAGGCCAGCCTGGTCTACAAGAGCTAGTTCCAGGACAGCCTCCAAAGCCACAGAGAAACCCTGTCTCGATAAACCAAAAAAACAAACAAACAAACAAAAAACAAAACAACAACAACAACAAAATGAGACAGAATGACTGAGGAAGAGGATACCCAGTGTTTTTACCTCTGGCCTCCACATGCATGTATGCACATACCTAATATATGATAACCTACATACACAAATAAGATATTGTCCTTTTTTGTTTCATTATTATTAACTTGACATAAGAGAAACTTTTCAATTGATAAAAATGCCTCCGTAAGATTTGCCTGTATTCAGTCAAGCCTGTGAAAAATTTTCTTAATTAGTAATTGATGTAGGATGGAGAACCCAGGTTATTGTGGTAAGTGCCATCCCTGGACAGATATCTCTGGAGTAGTAGTTCTCAAGCTTACGAGTATTGTGACCCTTAATACAGTTCCTCATGTGGTGGCCCCCACCATAAAATTATTTTTGTTACTATTTCATAACTGTAATTTTACTACTGTTATAAATTGGAATGTAGGCTTTTTATAGATAGAGGTTTGCCAAAGGGATCATGACCCATAGATTGTTTTACCCTAAAGTTCATAATTGTTATGTTTGGTTAGAATTTATACAAACTATTTTATCATTGTTGGAAGTGCTAGATCTCAGATTTACTTAAGAATATGTATTTGTTTTATTCTAATGGACTCATACTGCTGGTGTCACAAGCAAAGAAATTAACCTATGAAATTGTGAAATTAATACCTCTAGATGTCCAGAGAACTGACACCTTTCTTGGTGTAACTCATTTCCGTGTGTTTTCCTATGCTGGTGATTGTTATTCTGGTTGATGCCATTCAGAATATGAAATTCATTTGAGGCCTAAGTAGTTATTTGTAAAGTGTGGTGAATGTTCTATGTGTTTTACTGTCAAACAATAACCCAGGATATCTTTAAAATTTATTATTTGTGTTTTATAACCTATGTAGATTAAAATCTTTATATAGTATTTCACATAAGAGTTTATAAACCATTGTTTCTTGTTTCCTAGGTTTTTTTGTGAAGGTGGGGATGTTTAGCTCAGGAGAGCTGATTTATAAAAAGAAGACACGCTTACTGAAGGCATCCAGTGGAAGAGTAAAATGGGGAGAAACTATGATTTTTCCACTTACACAGACTGAAAAAGAAATTGTTTTCCTTGTTAAACTTTATAGTCGAAGCTCTGTAAGAAGGAAACATTTTGTAGGCCAGGTTAGTAGGTGTTACTGAATTTCTTCATGGTATATTGCTATGTGTTACTATGTAGTTAATTAGCAAAGGAAAGAAAATAAAATTAACGAGTACAGGAAGATAGTTCAAAGTTCTAAATTGAAATTCAGTGTTGCCTCAAAATCCAATTTTGTCAGACGTTTTGCTTTAATACAAATAGATAACATTTCTGAGCAGTCAGGCCTATTTTTTTAAGTCTTCTGAACTCTCAGCTTTAAAATATAAGATCAGTAGAAGAGAGAATCCTAAATATGTGTATGCTGAGTTTTTTTTTTACTTACTTTTTTTGTCAGCATCATAGTCAGCTGTGTTCCTTTAGCTACTTCCCTAATAACTACTCAGAGACTATTTATTAATTATAAATGCTTGACTGATAGATTAGGCTTGTTTTTTGTCTAGCTCTTATAAGTTAACTGATTTCTATTAATCTCTATGCTGCCATGTGGCTCATGGCTTGTTACCTCATATTGTACACATCCTGCTCCCTCTGCATCTGGTTGGGGACTCCTCTGACTCTGCCTTTCTTCTTCTCACTGTCGTTAGTCTGGTTTAACCACCTAACCTTATCCTGTTCAGCTATTAGCCAGTCAGCTTATTTATAAAGTTAATGATAGCATAATTTACACAGTGCACAGAAGGATAATTCCACAGCAAATATGTAAATCAAACTTAAGGCTTTGAGTATCACATTTATTTTATTCTGTTTCATCTTTAATTTTGTATTTAAAATGAGCCTTTTGTATATTTTATTAATTATGATAGATTTGAATTTCTAGAAAATACCAATTTTTAACCATGTGATAATATTTAGATAGCCAATTCTGCTGTCTGGATTAATTAAAATTTCTGAGTAATTTGTATAAGGTTATATAACAGTTGCCTTGTCAATCCTATATATGTTTTTATTTAAATTAGAAACATGCATGCTTCACATGTCAATCCCAGCTCCCTCTCCCACCCCTCCTCCCTTGGATTTTTTTTTTTACATTTTCTTTCTTATTCTGATTTGTGGCAGCTATTAGTTATTTTTTATTTTAATTACAATTGTTTGTGTCACATTTAAATCTTGAAGTCCTTAACTAAAGTAAAACCTTTCACCTGAAAAAAAGCTGCCATAACAGTCTATGTAAGATCTTCAGATTGTGATATGAATTTTCAAAGATTGGTATCAACTCTCATTTTCATATAAACAGACTGCTAATTTAAAATTTTGCAGTTTTCTGTATTATTTGGAAAGGAGTTTTAATTAAAGAACTAATATAAATTTGAGAGATGGTTAACAGGATAATAAATCTGGAACACTTCTTTGGTGGCCTCAGGTGTCAGCCACCATGAGGGAATCCTATGTTAGACTCAAGTGCTCCCACTGTAGCAATCCAAATACTCTAATGTTATCTGTGTAAAATGTTCTTTGAAGGAAAGTTTCTTTAGGCCAAGGTAGAAAAAGAATTAAAAACCAATGATTTACTTAAATCTCTTAGAAGAATTAGAAACTGTGTCTCAGGTAAGTTCATTACAAGGTGCATTTGTTAGTGTTATAGCCAAGACAAAGATTCAGCTTAATTTTTTAATTGTCCATCCACCTTGTCTCCATGTTATTTACTCATTTTGATGTCTTGTATTTGCACAATACTACAATTTTTCCAAGATTATTCACATATATCATCTATAGTTATATAAGTGATAGGTACAATGAAATCATTATGAATTAAGAATGACTATTTACTAGATTTCAATTAAGGTTATAGTTTCATGTAATGTGAAAGGAGCTTAAGTGTACATTCCTTTCTAGGTTCAAATCATTGTTTGCCTTAATTTAGAAGTCATTGCAAAAAATGTTTTTGAGTAATGAGGATCAATTTTAGTTGAGCTTGTAGATTGATTGAACAAGAAAAAATACAGTGATGTTTCAAATAATATTTCATTTTTATATTTTTAATACTTAAATTGAATTGGATCACATAATCCAGAATGATTCAACAGGTTAAGTATTTTAACATTTAAGGGTCAAATCACCAAGAAACTTTTGAAAAACTGGAATGATATATATTTAAAAATATGTTTTCCAAACTTTTCCATATCTTTTAACAATAAGAGTAATTGGTTAATGTCAGCTACTAATATTATGTCAAGTTGAATTACTGTACTTTTTCTTTACAGCTCTGGATAAGTGAAGACAGTAATAATATTGAAGCAGTGAACCAATGGAAAGAGACAATTACAAATCCAGAAAAGGTTGTTATCAAGTGGCACAAGTTAAATCCATCTTGAAGACTTCAGGCATTAATTTAGTGAAGAAACAACAGTCTTTTAGAAGAAACATAATTTCAGTTTTCTAAAGCTTCCAATGCATTCTATCAGGTATACAAAGTGAATAATATGTTTTAAAATGGTGCCAGAACATATGATAAAATAAAGGGTAGTATTATTAGGCCAACTAAATAGATAATAAAGTCTATGAAAATACCAATCCTAGATAGGTTTTTCTGTATTGGTTTTGCTTTTGTCTTGTTTTTGTGCTTTGAAAACTTTAATTTTGAATACTGAAAACTTATTCTTCAAGTAAACAAATACAAATCTTTTGAGCCTCTAATGTAAACATAGAATGTGAGGAAAAAATAAAAAAAAACTGAGCAACTACTAGCAATCCTTCAGCATTTCACAGGGCGCATTTAACAGAACTACATCTTCTTAGTGGCAAGGATTGCAGAAGTACACACATGGTCATAGTCTTTTTGTCATCTTATTCTGTTGGACTTCAGAACCTAGCACACCGATCCCTTTTAGTACTATTAGGTATTTACAAGACTTTATCACTTTTCCAGTGCTATTCATGATTGATTAGATCTTGGTTACACTGTTATATCTTTATATGTATTTTTTTCAGAGCAAAAATGAGCAGAATCATTTCTACTGACTTTTATTTTGTATTTGAGGAAAGTTCATTTCATCTTACATAGCAACCCCTGTTCCCCTTCCCTCTTCTCCTGCCACCAACACCTCCCCCCTTCTTCTACTTCTTAGAGGGGGTAAGGCCTTCCTTGGGTAGTTAGCAGTGTCTGGCATACCAAGTTGAGGCAGGACCAAGCCCTCTACCCCCTGTATCAAGACTGAACGAGGTATCCCACAATGGAGAATGGGCTCCAAAAAGCCAGTTCATGCATCCAGGATAAGTCCTGGTCCTACTGCTACCCTCCCAACAGATCAAGCCACATAACTGTCAACCACATTTAGAAGGCCTAATTCAGTCCCATGCAGGTCCCCCAGCTATCTGTGAGCTCCCACTAGCTGTCAGCTGTTTCTGTGATTTTACCCATTATGATCTTGACCCTTCCCCCCCCTTGTTCGTATGATCCCTCCTGCCTCTTTTCAACTGAACTGCAGGATCTCAGCACAGTTCATAAGTCATTGCTTAACCATTTATAAGCTGCTTATCTCCAGGAGATTTAGAGAATTATTAACATTTTTTCCAAGAATAAATGATGCTTGGATATAGCAGTATGGCTCAGTGGGTAAAGGAGCTTGTCACCACATCTGACAAATTGAGTTCCATCCCTGGAACTAAACATAATGGAAGGAGAGAACATATTTCTTAAATTTGTTCTCTGAAATCCACATGTATATCATGACACACACATGTACACACAGGTACACACACACACTATATATATATACATATATATATGTCTTAAAAATAATAAATGAAGTTTATTTGAAAACCAAAATATATACATTTTTCTGTCTTCCTCATTCCTACCCTTTATTTTCTTTGGAGTTAAAACAAAATTTTGTATTTGAGGCAACTTAATTTAGCAGAATTAAATGAGCTTAAATAGTAAGTAAACTCAGTTATTTTTGATCATTAGTTGTTAGTTTTAGTTTTTGATGTAAGTAACTTGTTTTGTAATCTACAGCATTAAAGTATCTTCCCATTTTTAACAATCATACCTGGTAACAATGTATAGAATGTAAATATTTTTCTACTGCAGTTTTTTCAGGTATGTATTAGAATTTAGCATATGAAGATTATTTCTGCTTCGGTGGCCATAGAAGTTGTGGCTAAGACAAAACGATTTTTAGGAAGAAGTAAGCAACAATTTCTAATCTTATAAATAGTGACTTTATTTTTGCTAATAAATAAATAATGAAATCAATATCCCCTATCCTCCTCCCTCCCTCCCTCTGTACCTCCTTGCCTGCTTGTCTCTCTCTCTTTCTCTCTTTCTTTGTTCTACACATTTTAGGCCAGAGAAATACTTTATTAATGTAGGAATAAACTTTTAAATTCTAGTTCATTATAGTCTAGATATTTAATTAGAAACTAAATCGAACTCTTATCTAGGTATCTTCTCAAGGTATATATATATATACCTTTCTAAAATTGACCCCATTGGTTTCATTCTTAGCAAACAGACCTGGACCACTCAACATGGCCTTATTTTTCATGATATTAGTGCAATGTTCTATTTCTATAATGAATTCATGACCACCTGAAGGCATTAATTTGATATACATGGCCTTCACAGCCACTATAGATTTTTTCCTCCATCCATTATGTTACTATAAAATATTACTTTGATCCTGTAGAAACTTTGATAGTTTCACATACACATTCTGGGGCACTGGAAGGAATACCTTCTGCCAGATTACAGCTGCTTTCTGCAACAGGAGGAAGATTAGTCAACAATATTTATGAAATCACAGATAACACAGAAAGTCGCAACCCATGTCAAAACATTATTTGGCATTCATTTAGGTTTGCATAATGTTTAAAGCAGGAATCATAAAAATGACTCAAGTGTATTAATGTAAATTCTTTCCAGACTGTTGAAAAGATACCATTGGGAATTCTGGACATATGTAATTATGGTCTAAAAATAAACTAACCTGGAGTTTTCTTTGAATACAGTTTTGCAAATTCCTTTGATACTAATAAACTCATCACCAGTTGGAAGCCATTTTCCAGCAAAAATTTTCATTGTTTATATGTTGAAATATTTGCACATGTATGACAGATTTCAGAAACTTGGAATACAAAATTTTCTTAGCTTGGTAACAATGAATATTTTAAATGCCCCTCTTTTCAATGTTTGGAAATTTATTTAGTGTTTCTTCAGGGCATATGAAAAAAGAACCAGTAAAATGTCCGTGTCGGTGATGGCCAGAATGCTGCTTTTGTAATTTTCTCTGCTTTAGAACCTGTCTTACTCAGAACAAATTTCAAATGCTTCCAATTTTAGGTGAAACACCAAATTAAAAGAAGTTTGAACTATGAAATATCCTGTCTATTTTAAGATATAGATTTATGATTTTAAAACTATTAAGAGAATTAGTATAATCCTCCAAAAATATAATTTGTTATGGACAAAGATGAGGACTGTCTAGATTTAGTGACTTCCTAGTCATCATTTTAATACTTCTATCTATAAAAAATCTGTTATTAAAAAATAGTAATAGTATTTCCATTAAACCAATAGGACTTTGGTAAAGACAGTAGATAACCTGGAACAAAGTTTCTTCATGCTTTCTTAGATGGCAAAGAGGTAACTGATCCATGCTATACTAAATAAGGTATTCTTTTATATGGTGTTGATAATTATTCAGTATTGCTTTTAGTAGTCTCATGTCATAGGATTTTTAAGGTCATCATTCTTTAGTTTCCAAGTCAGAAAGATGATTTAAAAAATTTATTCTTTTGATATAATGACTTATTTCAGCAAAAATAAGTTTAATTGATTGTGGTTCTAAGTGGGCCTTCAGTTTAATTTCTTCGTCTTTCAACTGTTTTGATTTTATAATGTATGAAGTTTTGATCATGAAGTGACTAAAATTGTAAATGAGTCATTATATATACTTAGGTATAATACACCTTCATTGTTTATACTGAGATTTTATATTTTATATATTTTATTTGTGAAATAAAACCATAGAAATCAGTTATAATTAAAAAGATTGGAGGGATGAATAAAATGCTTTGGAAGGTCTAATAAAGGAAGAATTACATGCAAATGAAGGAAGCAGGAAAGATTTGGTTGATCCCTTGCCCATCTGAAAATCTTGATTTCTTTTGTCAGTTGACTCACAGCAAAGCAATTATATTTCCAATTATTTTGATCTTTAACATACTTCTCCTGTTATTACTTAGTAGATTTTGTTTCCAGATTGCAAAGGAAACATGGTTGGATTCCTTCAAAAACCTACTTCTGTATCTACAATTTTATTTTTGCCTATATCCATTCTTTTCACCTCTTAGGTGCTTAGGTATTTAGAATGGAGCCCTCGTGGACAGGATTAGTATTGTTTTAAAAGAGAGAAAAGAGTGATTGATCCCTTGTGTTTTCTGCCATGGAACATTATGTAAAAATATGGCTGAGGCAGCATGCCTTTACCAGAAACCTATTTAACATCACCTTGGTATCAGGTTTCTCAACCTCCAAAACTGTTTATGAGATACATAGTTGTTATAGAACACAGTCTTCTAAGCAGAACAACAACAATCTTCCTCAGATCAGCTGTGCCTACTTTTGAGCAAACATCATGTTTGGACCCGTTGATTGTTGACATTTCTTGAGAGAAGGGATGTGATGGGTCATGGACCCTCATTTGAGATTCTAGGTCCTCCTGTCAGTCATTTGTGCAATTCTGAGCTAGTAGCATGGAGTACCAGAAGAGGTGCTAAGTAACTAGGCTGGAGTTTGTTAGCTGGAGATTCCATCCTTGTGGTTATGGGGAAAGTATCATATATGCTGGATGAAAACATTCCAATACAGCAGCCTTGAGGCCACCTATAAACCAATTAAAAAAAAACACGATTATGCTCTGTTAGTGAACCCAATACATCCATTGGTTTCCCAGACTGAACTTTGGTGGACTTTGGTTTGTTGTTGGGAACTTATATCCATATCCTTAGGGATGGCATTCTACCAACACCATTTATTTTGTTATATAATCTCAATAGACTAGGAGAATCATTACATAAAATGAAAGAATGCAGTGTGCGCCTCAAAAGTGTGTTCTCTCAGGCATGCTTTATGGGTGAGTCTATAAGTAGGAAGAATTTTCACTCATACTGGAATTCTTTTTTCTATTCTCACAAGAATTTTTATTCTCATTTCCCTCCCCCTGATTATTTCTAAACACACACCTATTTTGCTCACAGGAAAAGTATATTAGTACCAGTAGAAAACAATTTTAACAACTGCCTGAGTTAATTTGTGTATCAATTCTGAGAATTTATGTGCAATTAATTATTTTAAAAAGAGGTTATTTTCTAGCATGATGTAGATGGAAGTTTCTTTCCTGCCAGGTCCCAGAGCCCTTCAGTCCCAAATAAACACACAGAGGCTTATATTAATTATAAACTGTTGAAACGATGGCTCAGGCTTGTTATTGGCATTTCTATTAAACTATGTATCTCCATGTGGTCTTGACTTACTGGTAATGCCCAGATCTCTTGCTTCCTCAGCAGCTACATGGCATCTCCCTTGCAACTCACTTTCTGAGTTCTTCTTCATAGAATTCTCCTAGTCTGGAAGCCCTGCCTATACTTCTGGCCTGGCCATGTCCTGCTGGAAAGATATATTCACAGCATACAGAACTACATACTGTTAGGTCATTTATGTTTCACATCTCTGTGGTTTAGTTCCTTAACTTTCTTTTAAATCTCCAACTATGTTGTTAAGATCTACCTTGTCTGATTTCTCCTTCACAGATTAATTAAAGCTTCTCTGTCCTCAGTCTATTTTTAAGGAGTGGCCCTACAGAAAGTTCTAGAAGGAAATCTCTAACCCAAGGCAGGTAACTACAACCAGAAAAACTTAGGCAACAGATAATACCACTTTATCAAGAGCCAAAAGAAAAGAGGGGTGAAAATCCACACACAATTCCACCACTACCACTGACTCCAAAACAAACAAGAATGAGTAATCAATGGTCATTAATATTCCTCAATATTAATGGTCTTAATTTGCCCATAAAAAGACACAGGCTAACAGAATGGATTCGAAGACAGAATCCATCCTTCTGCTGCATACAAGAAACATACCTCAACTTCAAAGACAGGCGTTATCTCAGAGTTTAGGGTTAGGAAAAGATTTTCCGATCAAATGGACCCAAGAAACAAGCAGGGGTAGCAATCCCAACCATCTAACAAATTAGACTTTAAGCTAAAATCAATCAAAAGAAATGAAGGAGGTCATTTCATACTCATCACAGGAGAAATCTACCAAGATGAACTACCAATTCTGAACATCTATGCCCCCAATACAAAGATAACCACATTTGTAAAAGAAACATCACTAAAACTCAGATCACATATAAAACCTCACACATTTATAGTGGGATACTTCAACACTCTATTCTCACCACTAGACAGGACCACCAGACAGAAACTTAACAAAGAAGCAAGGGAGCTTATAGAAGTTATGACCCAATTGGGTTTAACAGATATCTACAAAACATTCCATGCAAACAAAAAGAATATAACTTCTTCTCAGCACCACATGGAACATTCTCAAAAATAGATCACATACTCGGCAATATATCAAACCATAACAGGTACCAAAAAAAATTGGAATAACTTCGTGTACCTTATCAGATCACCATGCATTAAAGTTACAATTCAACAACAACACAAATTGCAGAAACCCTACAAACTCCTGGAAATTGAATAATGTGCAATTGCACCATTCCTGGGTCAAAGAATAAATAAAAAAAAGAAATTAAAGACCTCCTAGAATTCAATGAGAATGAAAACACAACATATCCAAACTTATGGGATACTTTGAAAGCAGTGCAAACAGGAAAGTGCATAGCACTAAGTGCCCACATGAAGAAACTGGAGAATAGTCACACTAGAGAATTAACAGCATAACTGGGGGCTGGAGAGATGGCTTAGGGGTTAAGAGCACTGGCTGCTTTTCCAGAGGTTCTGAGTTCAATTCCCAGCAACCACATGGTGGCTTACAACCATCTATATAATAGGATCTGATGCCCTGTTCTGGTGTGCAGGTACACATGCTGAACACTCATACATTAAAACAGCACAACTGAAAATCCTAGAACACAAAGACACAAACTCATCTAGAGGAGTAGATGCCAGGAAGTAATTAAATTGAGGGCTGAAATAAAGTAGAAATTAGGAAAAAAATACAAAGGTTCAATGTAACAAAGAGTTGGTTCTTTGAGACAGACAAACCTTTATCCAAATTTACCAAATGGCAGAGTGTGAACATGCAAATTAACAAAATCAGAAATGAAAAGGGGGACATAACAACAGACACTGAGGAAATCCAGAGAATCGCCAGGTCATATTTTGAAAACCTGTACTCCACAAAATTTGAAAATTAAAAAAAATGGACAATTTTCTGGATAGATACCACTTGCCAAAATTAAATCAAGAACAGATAAGCAATTTAAATAGATCTATAACCCCTAAGGAAATAGAAGCAGTCGTCAAAAGTCTCTCAACCAAAAAAGGTCAGATCCAGATGGCCTCAGTGCAAAATTCTACCAGAAATTCAAAGAACAGCTTACCAATTCTCCTCAAAGTTTCCACACAATAGAAACAGAAGGGTCTTTCCAAACTCTTTTTATGAAGCTTCAATAACCTTGATACCCAAGCCACACAAAGGCACAACCAAGAAAGAGAACTTCAGAGCAATATCCCTCATGAACATTGATGCAAAAATACTCAATAAAATACTGGCAAATTGGATCCAAGAACACATCACAAAAATCATCCACCATGGTCAAGTAGGTTTCATCCCAGGGATGCAGGGATGGTTCAACATATGAAAATCCATTAATGTAATCCACCATATAAACAAGCTGGGAAACAAAAATCACATGATCATCTTCCTAGATGCTAAAAAGCCTTTGACAAAATCCATCACCCCATCATGAT